GCCGTAGTGACCGGTGCAATACAGAATCCGTTTCTCATAGATCAGCTGCGCGGACCGCACGCATTTTCGATCTACTGCGGTTTCTAAGCGAGCGGAGTGTGGACGGGACGGTGAAAACGATGGAGGATATCCGGGATGAGATCCAACGGTTGTATGACGCACGTAAGTGTTTAAGTCTGATTGCGGTGCGGTTGTTGTCGTTCTGATGTGTGTGTGCGTGCGTTGCGTGGCGTGCGGTGTCGCGTGCGTGTGCATGTGGGTTTAGTGGTGTGCGTATATGTGGTGGTGTGCGCGGTGCGGTGTGTGTGTGGGCGTGGGCGTGTTGGTGCGTCGTGTTTGTGTGCTGCGCGGTGGCGGGTGCGTGGTGCGTGTGCTGTGTGCGTTGTGCGTGTGGCGTGATCGGGTGCGTGTGCGTGTTGTGTGTGTGTGTGGGCGTGTTGCGGGGCGTGCGTGTGTGTGTGTTGGTGTGCGTGTGCGTGTGGTGTGCGTGTGCGTGTGGCGTGGTGCATGTGCGTGTGTGTGTCGCGTGTGGGTTATGCGGTGCGGTGTGGTGTGCGTGTGTGTGTGTGTGTGCGTGCGTGAGTGAAGTGCGTCGCGTGTGGTGGGGCCGTGGTGTGTGGTGTTTTGACACCTTCGTCTGCCAGCGCGTGTACTTATGCACGAGCGTAGCAGTGGTGTAGATGATAAAGCCGAGCGAGCCGACGACGAGGGAGAGCCAAAGCAGACGCAGCGGGCCGGGTTTAGAGATGGCGACGTGCTTGATGCCGTGAGCGCTCGTCTGCTCAGCGAAGACAGACGCCAGCCGCTGATGCGATTCTGCGTCTGTGCTCGGCTGCTTCATGCTGTCGTCGTCGTCGTCGTCGTCGTCGCCGTCCTCTAATTCTTATTCGTCTTCGTCGTCGTCTTTGTCGTCGTGGTGGTCGTCGTCGTCGTTGTCGCCGTTGTCACCGTCGTCGTTGTCGTCGTCGTTTTTGTCGTCGTCGTTTTCTGCTAGAGTCGGAGCTACTGTCTAGTTATGCTAGCGCCGGCCAGGGTCACTGATCATGCTACTGGTGACGCCAACTACGACGTCTTTGTTTTCATATTATAACCACGTGCGGTGGCACCACCATCGCAGGCCAATAGCGTGTTTAACGTGCTTTTTATCGACAACATTAAAAGAGCGTCGGGGTAGCGTACTGCTGTCGGCGCAGGTCAAATGTAGGAGTTTTTTGGAGCGGTGTAACTGGCAACGCGCTTTTCAACCTTTCCTTCCTTGGCAACAAATTGCATGCTGGCTGGCTGTCGCGATGACAAACACGAGCCTTTGTGTCGCCAGCGCTGCACGGCAGCCACATACAAACATATGACAATGAAGCTATCGGTGATTCATCGCACACACACGCACGCACGCACGCACGCACGCACGCACACACACACGCACGCGCATTGTGCATGTAGCATTGTATTGCTACGCTATCATAACGTGGCTGACTTTATTTTACATTGGAGCTCCCATGCGCATTCACGCGGGCTTAGGTCAGGTGACCAGCAGATCTACGCGTTGAAAGTTCCAGAACTGTGTTGTTGGTTGTTGTTGCTGTGTTGTTGGTTGTTGTTGCTGTGTTGTTGTTTGTTGTTGCTGTGTTGTTGTTGGTTGTTGCTGTGTTGTTGGTTGTTGCTGTGTTGTTGTTGGTTGTTGTTGGTTGTTGCTGTGTTGTTGTTGCTCTTTTGTTGTTGCTGTGTTGTTGTTGCTGTGTTGTTGGTTGTTGTTGTTGGTTGTTGTTGGTTGTTGTTGTTGGGTTGTTGTTGCTGTGTTGTTGGTTGTTGTTGTTGGTTGTTGTTGGTTGTTGTTGTTGGGTTGTTGTTGCTGTGTTGTTGGTTGTTGTTGCTGTGTTGTTGGTTGTTGTTGGTTGTTGTTGGTTGTTGTTGGTTGTTGTTGGTTGTTGTTGGTTGTTGTTGGTTGTTGTTGGTTGTTGTTGGTTGTTGTTGGTTGTTGTGTGTTGTGTTGTTGTGTTGCTTGTGGTTGTTGTTTGCTTGTTAGTTGCTGTGTTGTTAAATTGTTGTTGGTTGTTGTTGGTTGTTCTTGTTTGTTGTTGTGTTGTTG